TTGAGAAGTCAAGAAGTGGCAGGTAGGCATGTGACTTAGAAATAGGATGGTAAATAGCAGAAAGAATTGAAGTAGGTACCTTGGGAATCAGGATTCTGGACTAGGGAGAAGGCATGGGAACCACTCAATGTTGATGTAAAATTTGCAGTACTATTTGGAACATGTGCATGTCAGCTTAATAATAAAAGAATAAATAAAGGGAGAAACATGAAAACTAAATGAGACATCTTATCGAAAATTCTTTGAAAATTTGAAAACGCAAAGCAACATTTAGTCCACAGATATTTATTGAGTGGTGATTAGATGCCAGGCATTTAGAACTATCTGTTAAGGATTAAAGATGAGAGAGCAATGGTCACTGATCTTGAGAAGCCCCAGACCTGGGCCACCTGGGTGGCTCAGTTGGTTAAACAGCTACCTTCGGCCCAGGTCATGATCCCAGGGTCCTGGGATCGAGCCCCACATCGGGCTCCTTGCTCAGCAGGGAGACTGCTTCTCCCTCTCTCTCCCTCTGCTTGTGCTCTCTCTGTCAAATAAATAAAAAATCTTAAAAAAAAAAAAAAAAAGAAGCCCCAGACCTGAGAGGGGAGCAGACATGAACATAAATAGCTGCTATCTATAAAGAGTTAGCGGTCCGATGCTATTAGTCAAATGTGTGGGAGAGAGTGTAGATACCACCTAGGGACAAGGTTCTGCTGGGGGGGACGGGCACTTCACTATGGAGGTGGTACCTAAATGGGTCTTTGTTCCCGAATCTTTCTTCAAAAACGAACTTTGCTGAATTATTCTTCCTTTTATAAAAGCAATGTGTGCTCATCACCGAAAAAGCAGAAAAGGAATTTAAGCAGAAACGGGTATCAGCCTGTGATTGTAACCTCTCAAAGAATCTGCTGGTGGCACCTTCGGGCGTGCACATCCAGATCCCCCTTCCTATGCCTATTAGACTTACAAATGTAGTCGTTTACTATGTTGGAATGTTATTTAATTGTTTTCCTCCTTGTATTTTCTCCTCTTCCCACCGGTGCCCACTTCTCACCCACCAGCAGCTGTTAGGAGCCCCATGTTCATTGCCTCCATGGACACATGTGGCCAATAAGAGCTGGAAAGTAAAGGACGTCCTACAGGACCTCCGGCTTCCCCCCATACCTAAGCCCTAAAGCGGGGAGAAGATTTGGTGGAATAGATAAATGTCTCGGAGAAGGATTTCTCTGTTTCCTCCCTAGAAAGGTTCCTGCGGGAGAGGACAAGGGAGAGAAGGGAGGGATCCGTGGGTCCCAAGGTCGGAGGGCTCCTGCACCCTACTTCCTTGTAGTGTTCCTAGGGTCTAATAAGACCCCGAGAGGAAATGACACCATGCTGATCCCAGGAAGACAGCGTCCGAAAATTCTCACACCTAAGCAGGTGGACATGAAAGAGCCAAGAGGCAGAGGTGATGGAGTTCTCGAAGGCAACACGACGGCTAAGAATCAGCTGCCCCTGCCCAGGTCCTGGCACCGCATCAGGTATCCAGAAGCCATTGACGCCATCCTGGGAAGGGGTACAGAGGAGCAAGAACGGCTGACATTAGGTTTCCCTGAAGCTCGGTGAATGGGGGTCCAGGACTGGAAATCGGGAAGTTATAGTAAATGAAGTTATATTTCTTAGACCAAAAGAAAATAAAAGAAAAAGAAAATCCATAGCCCTGATTTTACAGCTCACTCTTACCCACCAGCTCTAAAGACAACACAAGGCATAGAGTCTTCGAAGGCAAATTCATTCCAGACCAGGAAACCTAAGCAGGTAGAGACATGGTCTTAGTTGTATCGACATATTCGGGGGCACCTTGGAGACTGGGACCAAATTAAGAAGATACGAGAGGTAGTCCAATACCCTCCGTTTGGTATCATACTATCCTAGCCTATTTGTTGCCAAATCCAGCCGGTCCGACTTATTCTCAGTCCTTTCTCCCCAACGTCCTTCCGCCAGAGCCTCCCCACCCAGGGCTCCCACCCTAAACCATTGCAGGAGCCTCTAACCCAGCCCCCCTGAGACCACCTTCCCCCCACTGCCTACCCTATAATCTGGTAACAGAGGAGTCTGCACAACGCACAAATGTCATCAAGTTCCTCCCTTACGGCTAAAGGTTTCTGTAGCCATAGAATAAAGTTTAAACTGTTGGTACGTTACTGAGGGCCACGCATTTACTCTTTCATCAACAACCATTTAAAAGACACCGAATTAGGCCTGCCCCGAGTCCAGGACCTGTTCAAATTACTGAGGAAAGAGACAAATAAGGCCACCCCTACCCCCAGGAAATTCACTGTCTGGCAGGAAACAAACTTTGGGTTCATGACAATGTGTTCTGATGGGTGTGATAGAGGAAGCCAGGCGGGGGGAGTGGGGGGTGAGGCAGTGGCAAGGTCTGGGGGAGTGACGCCAGCCTGCCCGGGGCTGTGATTGGGAGCGTGGACTCTGGAGCTAGCTGGCTTGGGTCTGAACTTAAGTGACCAAGGTGACCTTGGATAATTTGCCTAACCTCTCTTATCTGCCAAAGAGGGTGTTGCTAATAATAGTATTTACCCCAAAGCCTTGATATGTGGTCGCTAATCAGGGGTTTTGGAGACCAGTGCCTGGCATGTCAAGCCCCCAGTCAGCATGAGTTACGTTAGTCATCAGCCTCCCCACGTCTACACCATTGCTCCCACTGCTTTCTTATTGTGCAATGTTCCTGTATGCTGAAATGTCACCCTGCCTTCAGGCACTCTACAAACACCACCATCTCCAGGATGTCTCACCCTGCCCCCCAGGGTTGAAATGACTTTTCAGTTCGCTCCCGTAGCACTTGACACCTGTGACTTAACTGTGGTGATTTATCACGACTGCTAATATCACGCGCCCTCTCTGGTCTGTCTTTCTGTTCCACTAGACTTTTGAGTCTCTTGAGAGTCAACACATCTGAGGGAGTGGAGAAGCATGGATTTTGGAGCCCAAATCCCCTGTGTTCAAATCTCCGGTTTGCCACTTCCTGGCTGGGTGGAATTAGGCTTAACTTTTTAAAAAATTTTTTAAGATTGTATTTTTTTAAGTCATTTCCACACCCAGCGTGTGTGGAGATCAACCCCGAGATCAAGAGTCGCACGCTCCACCTACCCCGAGCCAGCCAGGCGCCCCTAGGCTTAACATTTTAAGCCTCATATCCTTCATTTTTGTAAAAGAATAAAAATGCTAATCTTGGGCGACAACTGTGAAGATCAGAAATAACCCACAGAAAGCTCCTGAACATAGGTTAGGGTTTTGGGAAATCTCCAGCTCTGAAATGATAATCATGTGTCGTAAACATGCAAACACCTCGGTAACAGTGACCTTCAGAAACCACTGATAACTACATTTGGGTTGGCATTTTACAACTCCCTTTTATCTGATTTTACTTTTCCTGGGCAGCACTGTGGGGAGAGGTGCTGTGGCCCCCACCCGCCCCCTGCCTCTCGTCTCTAACTGCACACTCGTCATCAACAAGTTGACTTGTCTCTCCCTCCCACCCCTCTCCTTCATCAAAATGTCTCCTGATTTTCCACTTCCCTAACGTCCTTCCGCCAGAGCCTTCCCACCCAGGGCTCCCACCCTAAACCATTGCAGGAGCGTCTATTGGCAACCCAATAAGGTCAACCCAAGGGTCAACTGCTAAAGACTGGTTAAGTAAACTTATAACCGTGCCATGCATCATGAGTAAGATGGGAGTAGATTTCTATGTGTCAACATGGAAGAATGTCCAAGGCATAGTGTCAGTTTAAAAAGCCAGCCCGTGGAAAAGTGTGTATGGTGTGATAGCTATCAATCTGCCTATGTGCCCATCCATTTATCCATCTGTTGTAAGGGCTTGTGTAGCATAAGGTAAAAAGCACAGGCTATGGAAGCAAAATATCAGGGTTTGAATCCTGGCCCTGTGACTTCCTAGAGGGGTGACCTTGGGCGGTTCAAGTCAGTTCTCTGTGTCTCTGTATATTCATAACCATCAGAATTAGTTAATGTACATAAGGCATTTTAGAATAGAAGTGTTGCCTACAATTATGTAATAATTATACGTACACTAAAGAATCAAGTATGGTCACCCCTTAAGAGCGGGTAGACATGGGGGTGTGATGGAGAGACCTTCACTTCTTGCTTGGATTTTTCTAAACATTATGAGAGCATGTATTACTTTCAAAAAAAGTTAGGAACAGTGAAATAGGGACGCCTGGGTGGCTCAGTCGGTTAAGCGTCTGCCGTCGGCTCAGGTCTTTATCCCAGGGTCCTGGGATCGAGCCCCGCATCTGGCTCCCTGCTCCGCGAGGATCTTGCTTCTCCCTCTGCCTACTCTGCCTGCAGCTTCCCCTGATTGTGCTCTTTCTCTCTCACAAATAAATAAATTAAAAAAAAAAAAAAAGAACAGTGAAATAAAGTCATTCCAAAAAAACTTGAGTCGGGAAAGAAAAGGGTCTTCCACAGCTGGAGACGTGTTGATTTTGTAAGAAAACTGGTCTATAAGGTCCTTTTGAAGGATGAACTTAAAACCCAGATTTAAGCTAAGTGAGAGGTCTCCCATTTTCTGACCAACTCCCCAGGGAGAGTGTTATTTGAAAGTGAATGGCATCCATGGGATAAATCTTTTGCTTTAGGACACAGCAAATGGCATGCGAGAACTATCCCCAAAGTCGCCATTATTACTCACAGTCCCGGAGGGGAAGTTGTCTCCTGTCTGTGCCTTCCGGAGACCCAGACCCATAGTTTGCCAACTCCTGCCCGCGTTTCCCCTGGACATGCTGCCAGGCATCCGGACACCTTGGTTTTCCCACTCATGCCCCCTGTGTGTCCCCTAGGTGCCCCCTTGGATCTTCCTTGCCAGTGGTTGTTGACAACATTCCTGATTCCTGACACCCCGTGGGGACACGGTAGTGTCTCAGAGCTCCCCGGGCTTCCCTGGGCTAGTCTTTTAACATGCCTCCAGTAAATTATGAGGAATTTGGAAAGGGTCAGAACCTTACCCGGAAGGTTTTGTATTGGGCTCCTTCATAAAGGAGGGCAGCATGAAGATGAAGAAGACCAACATGGCCAAAAGAAAGAGCCATTGGGTGGCAAGGTTCAGACGACTGAGTCGAGGCAGCCAGGTCCTCATGGTGGTGGGTCAGGCACTGCAAGAAGGTTCTGCATATCCCGGAGCTTCGACATAGACTGCAGATAAACAGTGTGAGTGCTAAGGTCTCCTGGCCAGGGAGTGCACACCTCTTGTCTTAACAATGAGCCACTCAGTCTATCAGGAGCTGCCTTCCCTGCTTTGTGAAGGCTTATAGGCTGGCGTGGCTTGAAGGAAGAGAAACTCCTTTTGTTCAAACAAGTTTACTTTCCTTTTCATTGTCTCGTAAGCCAATTTCTGCATGTAGAGCTTTATGACAAACACGCACACATTATAGGGAACCTCACTTTTACCAGGTTCCAAACCCTTGGGGACCCCGGGCAGCTGCATGGGCTGGAAGATCCTTGCGTGGCTTCCATGCACAACATGAACTTTACGAGAAGAGTACAGGGAATCTGTTTAGCTCGGAGATCCCTCTAGCAATCTTCCCTCAAAGGACATTGTGTCGCCAGAGACTAGAGCTACGAGGACAGTCTCATTTCCAAAGTGTTCCAGAGTCACACATAGCTCTCAATCCTGGGTGCACATCAGAATCACTTGGGGAGCTGTGCTACACCCCAGTGCCCAGATTGCATCGAAAATGACGAAGCCAGACTCTCTGGGGCTGGCTATTTTTCCAGCAGGGGTATTTTTTTTTAGTTCCCCTGGTGATTCCAATGTGTGGACAAGCAGAGGACTGATTTACAGTCATTTGGCTCAACCTTGCCTGCTTCTCTTCTGCAGTCATGGCCTTGACAGCCCTGAGCAGCATGCGTGCAGACGAGAGCGCTAAGCCAGGCCCCTGGGGGCTGTCCATGTGCAGTAATGCTCTCGAAGCTACTTGAGGCGCTGGGCATTGTTGTCAACCCCATTTTACCGTTGGGGAAATTGCCTTTGTGAGCAAGCAACTTGCCCTAGATCCGAATGAGCCATCAGCTTGGACACCTATCCAAGTGACCTAGAGATTACATAGTAGCACCTCTGAGAAATCATTAACTCTGCTTTGATATGAAGAGTAAAAGGCATAATGCTTAGAGGAAATGTGCAACTCAGAGGAATAATACCGAGTTTGGTCGTAGAAAACTGAGAAAATTCAGAGAAGCAGCCCCCCATAAAGAATTGCGGGTTATTAATTTTTTAAATATTACTCACAGGAGATTGAACCACACAGGTGTTTCCCAGCAGTTGAAATGGGAAAGATGCAGCTTGGAATAATAAGCCCCGAAGGTCACGGGACCTGGGTTCATTATTCTCGCATGACAGGGTATATTCAGGGGAATGCACAACTTCCTGCTCTGTACCCAACGTCCTTGGCCTTCACCCAGGACATGCACCAATAAATGCTTAAACTGCCTTCCCCAGGCAGGATGAAAAAGGTAAGACATGCTTCTGAGTGGCTGGGAGTAATACAGACACACGATGGGCTTCCTTTGCTCCATACCATGCACTGGAACTCCGTGCACTATTCCAGGGGATGGGCTGGGGGCAAGGAGAAAAGTCCCTCTCAGTACTAATTGAATCTCTCTCTCTCTCTCTGAATACACCTAACCTGTAAGTGCTCATACAATGACTCTATAAACATTTTCTGAATAGACCGGGGTCAAATCATAACTCTGCCTTAATTGACCCTTAACTGACCCGAATTTCCCTGTGCACTTGCCATGAACAATTACCCTACATCCTGGTGCCTGTTTGCAATGCCAGGCAAATGAAGTGCACGGGGGGAAGGCGTTTTCTTACCCTCAGCCCTGGTTCAACGGCAAGGAGCGTCTGTTTCGTCTCGCCCCCTGCTCTGGAGAAGGCTCTCGGGGTCAGTGTTCTCTCTGACTTCCGGAGCATGGAGATCTAGGTGGGCTCCTGGGTGCAAGCTGAGCTACGGAACAGTCTGTGCGGCTCACCACCTCAGGGGTGGGTTGAACTTGGAGCTATGGAAAGCCTGCAGAGGGGGCGGGGGGTGGGCGCGGAGAGGGGGCCAGATAATCCAGAATTCTAGCTTCCTGGTTCTCAGGGGCCAGCCAATGCTGCTGCAGCGTGTGCTTGTGTGCCACGTGAGATGCAGAGAAACATGGGTTCTAGTGGAAACAGACTCTCCAAATGGGTTTCCAACCTTCACCACTGTTTCACGTTCAGTAAGGTCGTTTCCTCTCCTTTTTAAAGCTTTTGACTTTAGTCTTTATATACCTGCCAACAGGATGCATGAGACCTTACATGCAGATAAAATTGTTAAAAGATTATTTTCAGGGCACCTGGGTGGCTCAGTCGGTGAGGCATCTGCCTTTGGCTCAGGTCATGATCCCAGGGTCCTGGGATCGAGTCCCGAGTCGGCTCCCTGCTCCTCGGGGAGCCTGCTCCTCCCTCTCCCTCTGCCTGCCACTCCCCTTGCTTGTGTGCTCTCTCTCTCTGTCAAATAAATAAATGAAATCTTTGAAAAAATAAGAGATCATTTTCGGTAAAAGGTAAGATCGTGACTCTCATATGGATAGGAAACCTGAAAATGTGTTTAGGATTTTTTACTACTCATGAGAGGACCGGGCAGATGTAATAATTTATTCAAAAGAGAAGGTGCAGAGGCACAGATTAATATAGAGTAAGGATTGCTAACCAGGAATTGCAAACGGGGGCAAAACAGGTTTTTCCACAGGATGGACAGACAGGACAGAATCTGCATGGCTATCAACTTCCTACAATTGACAGAACTGTAAAATAGTTCAAAGACCATGTTGGGCTAGAATCGGCTCACCTGGAGGGATGTCTCCTAGACGATGCAGACTTTTCCACGGGCATACAGCAGTGTTTCTAGAGTGAGTGTACCTTGGAACCACTCCAGGACTGGAGTTGTTGAAAACGTCCCCTCTGCTGGAAGAGACTTTTGGTGACTTAGGGGAATGCTGGATTAAATGGAAAGAGGTCAGCTTGTTAGGGACAGTGAGTAGTGGCATCCAATGCCCCTTTATATGTCCTGCCTTCTCTATTTTCTGTACCAGGCCCACCCCTAACTTTTTTTTTTTAAAGATTTTATTTATTCATTCATGAGAGACAGAGGGAGAGAGAGAGAGAGAGAAGCAGAGGGAGAAGCAGGCTCCCAAGAAGCAGGGAGCCTGATGCGGGACTCGATCCCAGGACCCTGGGATCACGACCTGAGCCGAAGGCAGACGCTTAACCATCTGAGCCACCCAGCCACCCCCCCTAACTTTTTTTAAACAGCCTGATTGAGATATAATTTATATACTATCTAGTTTGCACACTTAAGTGTACAATTCGATGGATTTGAGTCTATTTACAGAGTGATGCAACCTATTCATCCAGGCACTCGTAGCTTAAAAGTTCCCCCTTCTAACTATTTTCCTTTATTTTTGTTTCTTCTTTTTTTTTTTTTTAAATAGGGTCCACACCCATTGTGGGCTTGAACTCATGATCCTGAGATCAAGAGTCACATGCTCTACCAACTGAGTCAGCCAGGCTCCCCAAAAGTTCCTCTTTCTGAGGGGGAGCAGCCTTGGGCATTTACACAGTGTTCCAGGCCACCAAGAATCAGTGTGATTTTATTTTATTTCATGTACTTATTTTTTCTTTTAAAGTAAGGCAGACTGCCATGTGCAGTCCCTCATTTGGATGTGTCTGGAGTCTTGGAAGCTTGACTACCCTTATGTTTTCCTACAAATGGACCTTGAGAGCTCCTTTAGCCATTCTAGCAGGAGAGGGCAGATATTTGTATGCCTTTGACCAAATCATGGTCTTCCTCTGTCAGGGAAGATCGTCCTATTCCACCGAGTACACAGCTTTGGGAGGGATGCACATGGAGTGGTGAGGGAGGGTGGGGACACCACCTAGCCAGCCAGATCAGCCAAAACAACCCTGGAGGTGATGGTGTGATGGGTACCACAGCCTGATCGCTCTCACAGCCAGTGTGATCTTATTTTTAAGTCTGAATTCTTGGGTCTGAGTAGCTTTCTGGTCAGATGTGTTTGGTCAGACATGTTTCAGTCCCTTGAGCCCAGTAAGGCTCCTGCCCTTTGCTGATGAGTCTTTGTGGTGTGGAAAATTCTCTCAGCTCTGCTCCACGTCCCGCTCTGACTGTTTCGGCATGGGTACGCATGCTTTCTGGACCCCCAGGAATGAAGAGTCCTGTGAGGATTCTTCTTGGCTGTCTCTTTCTCTGGTTCTCTCTGTTAAACTTCTGGATGGTCTGCTATTTTGCTTGTCTCCACTAGGATCATTGGGCTACCGTACCTTTTAATGGTTTGCCCAAAATGTGTTTATCTCTGAAGAACCTACAAACCTTCATAGCTCCGAGACACTGTTGCCTTTGACTTTGAAGATATAAGGCAAAGGATATGAAGAAGACTTTCTCTGGGGCCCGAGCAGTGTTAGTCATAAAAGCACATGCTGAGCACCCGCTTCAAGTGACATAGGTGTACCCTGGTCTTTGATAAGTCTGTGTTTGTACATCTGTGACATGGGGCCTTCTGAAGTGTGGTGTCCAGCCCGGGGCTCCTCTTGTCTTTGTCTTTCTCTTTGTCTTTCTTTCTTTCTTTCTTTCTTTCTTTCTTTCTTTCTTTCTTTCTTTCTTTCTTTCTTTCCTTTCTTCTTTCTTTCTTTCTTTTCTTTCTTTCTCCTCCCTTCCTTCCTTAGCTAGAATGCCCTGGTTCACAAAGCTACAGTATTTTACAATATTTGTCTTTATAACAGGCTCAACTGGCATATTCATTTCTTAGAAGTTTCTCACAGAAACAGAAAGGCAAACATAATGCCAATTGGTTAAAAAAAATGGAATTTTAATTCATGAGTCTTTGTTGTCTGATGAGGGTGTCGATGATTAAGGGTGTCATAGGCAAGCGTTCACTATTACTAGACAGCCTCTCTTCCATACAGAATGTCTTACCTCCCAGTGGTCATGGTCAGAGGTGTGCTTGTCTTGGAACACTGAATCTGGATGGGGCGTCCTGTCAAAGCCCTCTGGGCTACTGCGGTGTTTGTGGAGGCGGCTAGAAAGGCCAGGCAGA